GATGGATTGAGGAGATTGTATTCAAACATTCAATCTTTAGTCATTAAAATACTCTTCGCGACTTCATAGGGAACTCAAATAAGTTAAGGTAAAAACTCTCATTTTCTTTCAAAGATTGAATCTTTATACATTAAAAAGGTTTATTGACATAATAGGTACCTTGATTGAGGTAATTTCATTCAAAGATTCAATCTTTAATCATTAAAACACTCTTCGTGACGTCAAAGAGAACTCAAATAAGTTTAACTCAAAACTCTTATTTTCTTCCAAAAATTCAATCTTCATACATTAAAATGGTCTAGTGACATAATAGGTACCTTGATTGAGGTATTTTCATTCAAAGATTCAATCTTTATTCATTAATCATAACTTATTCAGCCATCTCTAGGTTACGATCACCTGGTATTGGTTTTCCTTGGTATTGGTTTTCCTTTGGGTTGTATTTGCTATTACAAGAACTTGATGTAATGATTGGTAGACTACTCAACCTTCTTTTGCAATTTGGCAATTTGACAACAAGAAGTTTGATTCTCTGTCAGTGTTCAACAAAAATGAAGAAAGTAAACTAATTTGAATTTCTATTTAGCTCTTCCATGGAATATGCGGATCCTTCTAATAGTAATGGGTAACATTCTTCATAAAATGCAAATAATTTGATTACAATTGTTGGGAGTTTTATATTGAACTTATATTTGATAGTTTTCCCAGTTATCAAGCATCTATTTCCTCCTCCAATGTTGCTTGATCTATTGGAAACACAGAACATGACTAGGAAACATATATATACTGTGTTAATTATATCAAATCATGTATAATTAATGTTTATGTGCTTGGTTCTTTTGTATATGTGAGTATGCATTTCTGATGCTGACATCTCTGTCTTGTAGCATCTTCCGAGGTTCCAAGCTGAGAATCTTGTGCATAACAAAAATATATTCGAGCGGGTTTGTGAAATGGCAGCAAGGAAGCAATGCGCCACATCCCAGCTAGCATTGGCCTGGGTCCATCACCAAGGGAATGACGTGTGTCCGATACCCGGTACCACCAAGATTGAGAACCTCAAGCAGAACATCGGGGCATTGTCTGTAAAACTAACACCTGAAGAAATGGCAGAACTCGAAGCCATTGCTTCAGCTGATGCAGTTAAGGGGGATAGATATCCGTCCAAGGTGGCTACTTGGGAGAATTCAGACACTCCACCCTTGTCCTCATGGAATGCTTAGTAATGACATGCCTGCAACTCTGCAAATAGTGTCTCCATGGTTCAAGAACAACTGTGTGGTTGATCTGCTTTGGGACTTGGGAGTGTATTAAAAATGTGACTGGTTCCTGCATTGCCTCGTATAATTCTGATTTTATGAAGAAAATAGGAGTCTACGAAGTAGAAGAGTCTTTGGCTTGTAATAGTATATCATACATGATTGTAAAGTTGCTTAATCTGGAGAAATAATGGCATGTATTCTGGTATGGAATAAAAAAATAAATAAAATTCTAGATTTTGTCAATTTTACAAAATAGTGTGTATGGCAGAATGAAAAAATATATTGAATGATGCGTCATTTTAGGGTCTTTTGATTTTTTCGATCACCCCAACTGTAGGAATGTCTTTAATTTAAACAAATTTATAGGGTTTTTTTTTTTGTAATTTAAAGAGGTTTGTTGCAATAAGTCAATATATATATATATATATATATATATTGGGCGGGGGGTTGGGTTTACATTTAACCTTAAAATAAAAATCACACAGTTGTGTCAGTTCACAAAAAATATCAAAATTTAAATAAATAGCAGTAATTAGATTCGAATAGAACCTTAGTTAGCTAATCTGCTTACAAAAGTATCTTTCATGTTTTAAGCAAAGTTGAGGCGGTTAGTAAAAAGAGTAGGTGGAGAAAACACACCTCTACTACACGAGAAATTATTGGCAGCAACTGAGGTTCCACGTCACTTTGCTGACATGGCATCACAAGCCAATATAATTGAGTCTTGTTACACAGCTGTATTTCTCACCTGTTCTCTTTCTCTCACCGCAAGTCGCAGACCCAAAATTCCCCTTCTTCCCCTTCACTCACCGGCGGGCGAAGAACCGGCTGTCCAAGCCACCATCAAATTTTGTTGTTTTCAGGCCCTTGTGTCACTGTCGTCCAATTTGAACTTGTGATGCCATGTCAGCAAAGTGAGAGAAAGAGAACAGGGTGAGAAATACAGCTGTGCAGCAAGACTCAATTCTATTGGCTTGTGATGCCATGTCAGCAAAGTAACGATACTGCCAATAATTTCTCCTACTACACTAACAATGTGCATCACACTCCTAGAGTGCACAAAACACCCCCAAAATTATCAATTTAGTACAAATAATTCCCAACCGAAATGAAGTGTTCAAATTACACATTTTATATATTATTTAAAGAATGTCATATTGTGAAATGACGAAAAAGGCCAAAAGTTTTAAAAGAGTGGAAAACATACCTCTACTGGGCTTAACGGGTGTCTTACACCCTCACGTGCACACTCCCAAAGTACTGATTTGGTGCGAATAAGCCCCAGCTCACATAATATATATTTTACATATTATTTAAAACATATCATTTTGTGATACACATACAATGATATGTAATATGTGTATACATCGTTTGATTTATACATGTATAAATTTGGAGAATACGAGTTTATAAACAAAATATTATTAAAACATATATGAGCACAAGAAACAAAAGATGATGAGATACATACATTTTAAATTTTATTTTATATATATTTTTATTCATTTATTATAGTGTGTGTTATTTTTGGGAAATATAGAGAAAAGAAACTAAAGTTATAGAGGAAATATATATATATATATATATATATATAGAAAACCTTTAAAAGTGTATTAAATATAATTGACATACACATAGCATACCTCTACATGAGAATATATATCATACACTATGAGACTATATATAACACACGCCTCATTATTACTGTTTTCATCAAAATTTTGAGCTCAAATTAGAAGATAAAGAGCAAAAAGTTATGGGCGGTTCTAGAAACGGGCTTCACACACATATGAAAACTAATTGATTTTTATTTGTGCAAATGAGATGGTTGAATATATTATCAAACAAACTTTTATGAAGCCAAAAGAGTAAATTAAACAAATCGTCGCCACCTTTTTCTGGCTGGTGAGCTCCTCTAAGGCTAAGGCACATCTTATATGAGCTAGATCTACTCTAAAGTTTTTCCTTCCAATAGGCCAAAAGGAATGGTTGAAACTTAAACACGGTAATAAGTGGCATGAAGGCCATACACTGTGTGGTAGTCTCATCCTATTGAATCAAATGAAGAACAGAATGATGAGGGGTTAACAGCTATTCGAATACCATTCAAGTTGATTTACAATCAATCTCGGATATCTATAGGAGGATAGACTTTTGACCAATTAGAGGTGCTAATCCTACCATGCAGTAGCATCATTTAAGGGCATTTTGGACAATTTAGAAAATTTCAAAACTTGTAGGAGGATAGACTTTTGACCAATTAGAGGTGCTAATCCTACCAGTAGCATCATTTAAAGGCATTTTGGACAATTTAGAAAATTTCAAAACTTATAGGAGGATAGACTTTTGACCAATTAGAGGTGCTAATCCTACCCTGCAGTAGCATCATTTAAGGGCATTTTGGACAATTTAGAAAATTTCCAAACTTTGGTTCAAAAGTGAAATTTTTTAAAACTTTGGAGTTCTAGCATTCACATGCATTGTAGATAGGCATTCTCACAAGAATCGTGCATTGAAATACTCAAAAATTGAAAGAAAATAAAATTTTACATCACACTTCAAATTCAAATTCCAAAAACTCATTTTCAACTTTTGAAAACCAATAACTTATTCACAAATGAAATTTCCAACTTTCAAAGATCATTTTTTCAAAATTTTGCACCTTAACCATGAGCATACATCAAATAAAGTTTAAAAACTTGCAAAAAGTTCCATTTCAAAACACATTCATGCATTAAGACTTGACTTTTCATTTTCAAGACTTAAGAACAAGTTTTCGACTTCAAGTCACACATTTATGCATTTAAAACAACTTAGACAAATCATCCATGCAACTCCACACTTAGGTTTAACAAATGAAATGTTTGTAAGATTTATGTACCGTACGCAAAGTAAAAGCAACAAAAAGCAGGGAAAGAGTTCACGCTGCCACTTCTACTCTTTCAACAGTTGTCAACCTTCTCTGGATTCCTCGTGATTTTCAACCCTGAAAGAAAATATTAAGATAAACAATAATTGTAACTCCTCAAATATACGAATATGAAACTGTAATTGACCGACAAAATTTTAAGTTTATGCTACCTACTAATACCGTAGTGATGCTATAGGGGTTCGTTAAATGCAGGATCCGCGATACGATAGAACCCAGGCATATACAACGTATAAGAATTAAAATAAAATACATTTTTGTCCAAGACTTGGGTATGCCATACTCCATCACCCATACCCAACAATATTTATCGCCCAAAATACCAGCAATTAGAGACAGTGAATCTTGAAACTTAACAACATTAACACTTCCCTCCGCGTACGCACGAAAAATGATTCCGGGCACCATGATCTCGCGAAATACCTCATCACCCATGTGGAATGACACGATCAAGTGGAAGACATTGTTGGGGCTTTTCCGATCGTGAGCAAGCCAATGTGAAGCCCCGTTGAGATAAACCTGTGGAGACCTCTCGTGGATGTTATGTGAAAGACCCAAATGGGTGATGTCCCGCTGTAACAAGGTTCATTTTGTCCCACATCAGAATCGGATGGGAAAGAGATTGAGTATAAATGGGTGGTATACAGCCTTACCTAATCGTTCGAGCTTTTGGTTAAATGGACAAGCGCCCACCCGTTACAATTGGTATCAGAGCCAAACCCGTAGTCCGGAAGGCGTCCGGCTAAGTCTACCCGGTAGGCAGGTGGCCCAACCGCAACGAGGAGTTGTGAGTTTGGGTGGGGAGAAGGTCATGTCCCTGTGCTCAGACTGAAAATGTCAACCTCCGGAGGATTTCCAAAACCCATATCGGCAATATACACAATCCTGACAACCTTGTAGTCATCAGTCTCGGCAATATACACAATCCTGACAACCTTGTAGTCATCAGTCACGGAATCGAACCCGAATCCAATGCTGTGCATATGCCGACCGTGTGATCGAGAGGTGACCCGCAATGGCGGGAGATCCATCCTCTTCTGAATCGATAGATTCCATAGAAAAAGCTTCTCCTTGTAGCTGTGCAAATCTTCGGAAAGGCACAGTAAGCCATGGCAGCTACCAATTATCCTCAAATTTAGGTCCCTGCAGCTCTTCAGTGGACCCTCGAGCTCCCCATATGCGTTTTCGAAATTGGAATTTATCACTGTGTAAAGCATGCTCTTGCCGTTACCGGTTCGAATTAGTGTAAGGTTGTTGTCGCTGTTCGCGGACGATCGATTGACCTGTGTGGTGATGAAATTAGGGTTTGTGATCAAAGAGTACCATAATTTGCAGACACAAGCGCACCGACCGAGGGTTTTGATGGGTAGTCCGGTGAAGACGTCGATCAAAAGGTCTTTAGGTAGGAAATCTGACATTTTCTTTCAATTCGTGACTGGAAATGAACAAAGAAAACCCTAAACTTGCTTTTAGTTTGCAAAACAAGAATTACAGACCTTGGCGATGGAAACTGAAAGATAAGGGTTTTGAGCTTTGGATTCTTGCAGACAGATAGTTAAAAAGAAATATATGGGTTTTGAACTTCTGATTCTTGTAGATTTTGTAGTTTGCAGTTGCAGAGAGAGAGAGAGAGAGAGAGAGAGAGGGCAAGTTCAGAGTCCAGAACGACAGTAGAGATGGAGGCGACTGGGGAGGCTGAAATGATTTGCAAATGTAAGAAATGATATGCATGCATCCTTGGTCGACCTGAAAAAAAGTGCACCTTTGTAACATAAGAAATAAATGGAGTCTATGTGCCTTTTTAGTAGTAGCTACTGTGAGCTGATCATATAGCATGAAAGTGAATACGGCTTAGCCTTTGATGGGACCAACCATGATATTATATTGCTTCTTAATTTCATACCATAGTTTTGCATACAAAGTTTTTTTTTGAATGGTAAAATAAATACACATACTTATTTTACGAGATTCGAACTACTTCTTCTTCTCCTTCTTCTTTTTCTTTTTTTTTTTTAAGATAAAAAAATTATACCATTAAATCAAAGGCCATTTGCATACAAAGTTACAAATAGAAGGCTATAAGGCTGGATATAGTAAAAGAAGGATTCAAGGACTTATAATTTTTTTTAGGGCAAATTACACAAATATCTACGAGGTTTTTATATTATGCATATAAATAAAGTTATAGCACTATTATACAAAGATCTATATTGATCATTTGATCACAAAAAATTAATATAAATTTACACTTTTGATCTTAAAATTAAATTATTTATTTTTAATATTTTTAAAATTAATTTACTCATAAATTTTTCGTATAAGTTATTTTATATGTCTGATATGTTCGACTTTAATCTCGATTTATGTCTTTACCAAATACTGAAAAAATAAATATATATATATATATATATATATATATATATATATATATTTTACTTAAAAATAAAAAAAAATTAAAATAATATTTTACGTCCAAACAAATAAATAAAGAGAATAAGAAACAAATATGACTGTAAGACTATACTTTAAGGTATCATTGAAGAGTCCATACTCAACTACTAAAACCCACAAGAAGAGTTCCAAAATCGAAAGTCAAAAAAATTTAAATCATTTTCGTTGTAATCATTAATATGTAGAAAGTATAGTACCAAAAATAAAAAAATAAAATAAAATAAAATAAAAAAACATGAAAATATTAAAAATAAATGCTTTAATTTTAAAGACAAATTTATATTAATTTTTTATGATGAAAAATATGAATCTTTGTGTAATATTATTATAATTTATATTTACATGCATAATATAAAAATTTAGTAGGTGATTTGTGAAATTTGCTTATTTTTTTTATTTAACATTTAGAAAAAAATTGCAGTAAGCTTAGAAAAGTAAAAGATTTTTAAACCAGTTTTAATGATTCTGGAGGAGCTGAATCTTTGGTACTTGATTTATGAAAATTTTTACGAAAAGTCATCACGTGGTAGAGTCAGGAGATATGATGGCATTTATTGTATATGTTGGTATACCTAAAAAGATGTGCATGGAGTTTAGTAGGTTTGCGCACACCTATTCATAGAGCTGGATGTACAAACATGGTTAAAGTGTAACAGTATACTAGCACACGTGCGGTCATGAATATCTATATATATATATATACATGGTTTCTTGAGCTGTTTTGATGAAAAGACACATCTCAGAGTTGAGATGTCTGGACCTCGAGCAGGATGACATTTTAGTCGGAAACTGTGTTTTGGTCAAGTAAAAAAATACACATTGAAACACTAAACAAGTATGATGTGATATGTTAAAGCAAAAGTTGTGACAGTAAGATACAGTAGCATTATCAATTAGTAATTTTTTTTTTTTTTTTTACCTGTGTTAGGACAAGAAACTCTAAATATCCATATTAGATGTGACAACACATCAATGTGTAAATCTCTGTGCACTTTAATAATATTTTTTTATATTAATGTATGTATGAGAAGTAGTTGTATATTGGGTAGAGAGAAAATTATGTGGCTCAAACTAAAACAGTCACGAAAGATTGACTTAATTGCAGGTAAAATCATTAACTGAAAATGATTATAATTATAATAATAAAATGAAAAGGTAATTGATGATATTCATAATTTTAGAATTAAGTACACTAAATTTCTTTAAATTATTGACCCAATTACAATAGACCTTCTTAAATTATAAAAGTTTAAAAAAAAAAAACAACTTAAACTATCATTTTTGTTGCAACCACCTGTTCTTCAACTGTTAAATTCAAAAAAAAATTCAAAAAAAATTTAAACAAAAATACCCTTTTTATCTTCATTTTCTTCACCTTTCTCTCTAAGTAGATCAGCGAATCTAAAATTCTCTTTTGCAGTAATGAATTTTTTTCCCTTTTCCATTTCTTTCTCATTGTTTTCAATTGATATTGTGAATGATATTTTTTTATTTTCCGTTTCTTTTTCTATTGTTTTCAACTGAAATTGTATGTGGCCAATATAGTTTTTTTAACCGTAGAGAGAGAAAAAGAAAAAGAAAAAAGAGAGAACATTTTGAAGTGGTTCCATGGTGGTGGTAGGCTTTAATAGAGGTATGAAGTTGCTATGATAAAAGACAACTTAACAGAGGTATGGTGTAGCCAGATGGAGAACGAAGCCTATGAGTGTCGTTTGGCTATGGAGTTGTTGGTGGCTGAGCGAATTTCAACGGAATTGTAAATATGCAGGTTTTCTGGCAACGATTTTCACGTGGCTATCGCTCACCCCTTTGCCTCCTCTCTCTCCCTACATTCTCAAATTTTCTTTTCTATACTTGGTCACTCTCTCACTCCATTACCAATATTTTTTGCACAAAATTGAAGTCCTAAACCCAAGGTGAGAGATCTTCATTCATGGCATTCTAATCATCCATTTTACATAGCCGACGTGAGCTTCGGCGAGTATATAACGCTGCTGAATCGCTTCGTCCAGAAAAGCGCACCGCTCGCGGCAGAGTGCCATGTCCGGAAGGTTATCGAGCTTAGACGCCGCACAACCCAGATAGGCAAGAAAGTGATAGAAAGAGACTGAAAAAATTATCAAGAAATCAACAAAGACATGGCCTTAGATTTAGGATTTGGATGAGAGAGAGGGGTCTAAGAAAGTGAAAGAAGAGGAAGGGTAGAGGCGTAGGAAGGACAGAAGAGTCTGTCGTCGGGTTGCAGCACAAGGAGGGAGAGAGTGAGGAGAGAGATATAATGTACTATAACAGGATGTTGTTGAAGGTAGGGCTAAATAGTAATTTCCTTTTTTCCGTTGACGGCTCCTTGGCAACTTGTTACTAAATGTAACAAAATAATAATTTAGGCGTTTTACTTACTTTGGGGGATTTATTGCAATTAGGTCATAATTGAGGGGGTTTAGTGCACTTTACCTAACTTAATTTATTATATAGATAATCATTTTCTAAAGTGTCAGAAAGTATCTGTATACATAAATATGTGTGTATCCATTAGGAAAGTAAAGGGACTGACTGGCCTATATGCCTTTATATATATAACACAGTATATAAACCAGTAAGCTAGTAGGCCAGTACTTATTTGTACTTTATAGGCTACCACTTTAAATATATATTGTGAAATAGAATCATATAAAAATATGATCTGAAATAGAAATCCTTCTGCGTAGAAGAAAGAATGTCTTCAAGTGATGAGCAAACATATAATTAAATAGTACATAATTATATGTTCTAATGATATAGCTATTGTAGAGTGACTGCATCTGCATGCACAAATAAATAAAGCCACCTATGGACCAAATTTTTTGACAGCGGTTGTTAGGTTCTTGGATATGGTCACTAGGAAAAATCAACAACAGGTAGCATGTATAGCTTTCATAGAGAATTTGAAATCCAACGCCAAATTAATAGTGTGTGGGCGTTAGTTATTTAAAAAATAAGCTTCAGATTTCATGCTAAATTGGTTGTGCATCAAGTATAAAGGAAATATGAGAAAATAATGAGCATGAGTTTTAGAGCAATATCACTAGTGTAAGGCAGTGCGAGAAATTGTGAGTCCATAGTAGATTTTGTTCTGACCGGATCAGCTAATCGCCTAAGTCCATTGACTTTGTGTTGATATTTCTAGTAGAGTCGCCAAATTGTAGGTGTTCATTTTCATAACACAATAAAATACATATAAATGGTGATATCATACACAAATCTAAGTGGTCCAAATAATATAATAGAATTCGAGGTGAACTGGAAGAGGTGGAAGCACAGGCAAACTCAAGAGAAAGGGTGAAGATGGCAGTGTATATTAGTATATCATTGACTCACTTGATGAAGATACATGGAGAAAGCATGAGAAGTTATTTGCTCATCTTTTTTTTTTTTTTTTTTTTTTTTTTTTTTTTTTGCTTTACTTTCCACTTGGCCTTGGATAACCTCCTTATATAGGCCAAGTGAGAAGTTGGGTGATGTCACATGACAGCACATGTGGGCCCATTAACATTATAAAATAATGTTAATTAAGATGGGTAAAAAATGTACAGGAGTCAAAATGGTATCTCTCTCTACGAGTCAGGTCCGAGGTCAACTCGACAAGCCCTGAACTTCATCCACCAAACTAAGAACCTCCTCGGATCCCAAGTAATCTTAAGTCCTGCTCCCAACTCAGGTCTTCAAGTCTTTGATCTTTTGTTCGAGGTATACTAATGATGTGGTAAGTGCCACGTAATTTTGACCATTGATCATTTAACCAAGCTATGTGGGGCATTATTGATGATGTGGCGTGGTTCGTTGACTATTTGACCAAACTATATGAGCTAAGATATTTTGGACACCTAAAATGTTTTATTGAGATCAAGTCGGAAATAATCAAAGGTCCTAAAATAAATATATTAATTTAATTGTTGGATTGATAGCTTTATTTATCCGATAACTAATTTTGCATAAAAGGGTCAAAATGCAACATTGAGTTAGAGGTTATTTATTATTTAGTTGGAGTTTAATTAATTTCTTTTAGTGGAGTAGAAATTAATTTATGAATTAATTGAATCAGGTTCATGGTATAATGGATCTGGTCAATTATTAATTCATTGTAACCAAGAAAATAATAAGCTCAAAAGATTATCACTCATATCCCAACTTGATATTGAAGTCCCATTAGATTTGAGATGTCACGTGAATTTTAGAAATTGAGAAAAATATATTGTCTTCAATTATTATTTTTATTTTGCCTATATATACATAAGTTTCATATATATTTTAGGGTATGTCTTTGTGCATTAATTTTTGGAAGATAAGAAAAGATTTTTCTCTCTTTAAGATTTTAGGGTTAGTGTTCTCATCTCATGGAGGCTCTTACAAGCTTAGCTCTCCAAGGTTATTCATGGAGGTTTATGGGTGATTCC